GAGAAGCTGTCCTGGGGGCCAAATGGTCCAATGGCTAGATTCAGCTGTGTAAATATAGATGCCTAGAGCCAGTTTAGGTGCCCTGGAGTATCCAAAATACCCTCAGGTGGCTGGCAAATCTGACACAGGAGCTATGAGAGACCTGCTCCCAGGAGGAAGTTCCCTGGGGCATCTCAGCTTGGCACTAATGCTTGGGCAGATTAACTGAACCCAGAGTATCTAACATGGGCTCAAGCTCCTTTGGACTTGCAGCTAACAGAGGAACTGAACCCAGGGACCTTATTTTAGTGGGTCAGAGCTGTGGAGCATCCTGTGGTAGAAAACTGAAACTGAGGGTCTGGCCTTACAGAGTGAAAGGACCTCTCCCAGAGAAGCTGTGTAAGGGTAAGTGGCTACACGCATACACATGCACACGCTCAACACCAGGTTTTGCCAGCTCATTATGTTATCCAGCGGGGGATTTTTAAATTTATTTTAAAGCAGTGCAAAAGCAGATCGACTGAGAAAAAAGAGCCTTTGTGTTGTCAGAGCTTGCTGAGGTTGGGAAACTGCTTTCAATGCTATTGGCAAACACTTTACAGTGAAAACAGGGCCTACATCAGGCAGATAAATAAGTGCAGATGCGCTTTTCTGTAGGAACCATTTGGTGATAGACAATATATTAAAAAAAAAAATTCTCATCAAATTAATTGTGGCCAATTAGACATAACCCCTTCCCTTCATTCCTGAGTCCCCTCCAGTCGGGCTGCCTGAATGGGAAGAGCTCCTATCACCTGTTTCATTATGCAGATTGATATTCAAACATCTGAGAACAATGCTGCTCTCGGCACGGCAGGGCTCCAAATTGCTAATGAAACAGCTCTGCCAGACAAGTCACTTAAACCCGCACTCGCTGCCGACAGCTCTCATGGCGAGTTTTGGGGGGGGGATCGAGAAAAGGGCTCTCCACTCTGAATGTGCTAATAGCCCCCAGCCTGTGTGTTTATCGCTCTCCAGAGCAAGAAGGCTTCTGCTCTCTGACTCAGAGAGGTTACTTTCCCAAAGACGTGGACTTAATGCTTCTTGAGTCCCATTTGTGGAATGAGGGGTTGAAGAGGTGGGCAGTCACTGAGCTCTGAACACAAGATGTCTCATGTCCCAAAGCTACCCCAGCCATTCAGGTACACTTGGTGTCTGTTTCCCACCCCCATCTCTAGCAGCCACCTCCTCCCCACATTTGATGTGGAGCCAGCTCCGTAAGGGATTTCTCCTGTGGGTGAAAGCGTGTCACATCACCTTGGGTACAAGGGGAGCATCTCATGAGCAAGGCCCCGCGGTGAGCTAGCGGGAGGCTGCAGGTGGGGTACACCTCTGCTCAGGGCTCTTTGGGTGCAGGGCTGCAGTCGAGCCCTGCAGGTTCCCTCCCAGGCAGGAGGACAGGGCTCCTGCTGCAGGGAGGTGTGAGATGGGGCTCCTGCAAGTGTGGACAGACCCTTTACAACCCTGTTGGCTACTCCTTGTGACTCTCTGTAGCTGGGTTTGCTCAGCAATCAGTGCAGTTGCTTATCTTCCCCTCCCCTCTTATCACCACATTTTTTTGCCAGTCTCACACGGCTCCTCTTTGCAGATGCCTGGGGTAGAGTAGTTGTGACTGAGGGCTTTGGCAGGAGAAACATTTACATGAAATGATGGGAGAGTTTTCTCATTAATCTAAATTCTGACCCTTTCTGTCAATATCTGTGGTTAATTCCTTCGTCGATATTTACTGAGACACTGAGATTACCTCTGCACAGGCTGCCTCCATGTAATGGCCCCTGCATTGAGCCTCAGCTCCTGTCTCATGTCTCTCAGACTCCTCCTAGACCAGCCCTGCTTCTCTGGGGCTGATGCTTCTGATCCAGGCCCACTGTCCCAGCCCTTGGGAGAAGCCAAACAAGTGTCTTTCCTTACTGAACTCTTTGACAACAGTGTCAATTAACTTTCATTCTTACAAATTTTCTCCAGTTCCTCCATGTACCTCCATGTGTTGCCACAAGTGGGTACACTTCTTCCCCATCTGTCCCATATATGTTCTGGGAAGGCTCATATGTCTTCTTGCTCCTACAGTATGAGCTGTGTGGGGCAGAGGTGAGCTCAGAAAGATGCAGCAGTTTTTGGTTCTGGAGAGCTCTTTGGAGATCCCTCCATCCCTGGACTGAGCCTTGCCCACCTACTGTGGAGCAATAAACATGGGGATTTTTCAGCTGCAGTCTCCTGCCAGAAAGCTGTATGTATGTACCACTATTGCTTCTCAGATGTGGAGAGGTTAGCTGCTTATCTCTGGCTCCATGGGCTGTGGAGTCAGCTAGGCATCAACTGCTTTCAGCTTTGCAAACACCAAACCAGGTGCTGGGCATGTGTGTTCCTTTTAGGCATTCAAGCTAAAGATTGCTGCTGTGGGTCCCCCTTTCAGACTGTTTGCTGTCTCGTTGTCCACCAGGCTATGGCTGAAGTGTGTGGCGAATAAATGGCATTTGCAGATCAGTTCTGACTGAGGAATGAGCCAGGGGTAAGGGATGATGAGTGAACGCGCAACATGTGGTTTTGTAGAAGCCATCAGCCTTCCTTCTCCAGAAACATGCTTTTTCAGTTGCTGAAAACAGTAATTTCTTTCAAGAGGAATGTTATCATTTATTTATTGATTGCCCAGGATGATAAAAATTAAATATGGAGCCTTTCACCTCTGGCTGCTAAGATGGGCCCTCAAACACAGGGCGGACAAAGGATATTTCAGAGGTGGCATCACTGCCCTTATCACAGCCCTGACTGACTCTGTAATCCTTCCAACTCCAGTTCATAGGCACAGTGGTGGAAGCAGACAAAACTAGAAACTGTATCACTGGGAATGGAGGATGGAGATACAAAATGGACATTGAATGGGGCCTCTTTTTTTCTTAACACTCTTTGAGCCAAGAGAGACTCTCATAGCTTCTGCCCCTCCAAAGGGCACGCTGAAGCTGAGGTCACATCAGTGTTGGTTGTGCCTGCCTGCTGCTTGCCTTGCTGGCTTTTTTGGAGGGTTCTATGGGGATCGGAGGTACCCCACCTGCCTGCAAGGCTGGGTTCTGCAGCCTCTGGGGAAGCAAATTGTCCACTTTGTGAACTCCTGTTTTAGCATGTCAGGGGAAAGACTCTGTTCCTTTGTGCCTGGTGTGGCAATGCCTTTCTTGTGATGGGTTCCCTAAGCTGCTGCTATGATCAGCTTGGTAAAAAAGAATAATTTTAGCACGCTGCAGTGATTTTTCTCCCATCAAAGTTTGCTTTCATTGCAGGTGTTGATAGCTATGAGTTTGTCTTCTTCCCTAGGGAGTGTGACAAGTTTCTAAGAGCCACCTTACTGCCCGTTTAATGCTATGTGAAACCTTTTTTTTATGGTGATGTGCCAACCTGTGTTTCAAAAAACATCCCTGATGTTTCCTGTTGGCTTAAAGCAGTAGGACACGTGTCCTCTCTCGCACACTCATGTTTGCTCATGTGAACCAGCCTATCTCGCCATCCAGACCAGAGATATGATTCCTTACACAGCCATATGAGTTGACTGGTACATAGAAACAGGTCATGTAGAATCATAGAATCATGGAATGGTTTGGGTTGGAAGGGACCTTAAAGACCATCTAGTTCCAACCCCCCCTGCCACGGGCAGGGATACTTTCCACTAGACCAGGTTGCTCAAAGCCTCATCCAGCCTGGCCTTGAAGACAGCCAGAGATGGGGCATCCACAGCTTCCCTGGGCAACCTGTTCCAGTGCCTCACACAGCTCCTGGCTGGCCTGGTTGCTGAGACGTTGTGAATGAGATACACTGCTTTAGTGGCTTTGGCCTCAGCTGAGTTAACCAGGTTCCAAACTGGCTTTGAGCAGAGCTCAAGAACAAGGCGCATCTGCATGGTTTTCATCTATAGCCGTAGACTGCAGCTACATTTCCACTATAGAAGGTGACCGCAGGTGACTGCATACGTTCTTGAACCAGGTGAACTGTTGCTGTTAAATGGGTTTGGTCTGACCATTAGCATGTTCTTAGCATGCTTCTCAGGATCATCCAAATATACTGTCACAGGTACGAGTCAAGAATTAGCATCAGGCAAGCTACTGCTTGATACATCAAAAGAGGAGGGGGCTTCCCTCCATCTAACCTACCTTTGCATCTTTTTCTTTACTGCTTATTCAGTTCCTGGCTTATGGTTCTGTGTTCCTTCCCGTCTGCTGGTTCTAGGGGTTTTAAGCAGTCTTGATAATTGACAGTCTAAATTTTACTGCTCATAAAACCCCAGAGAGCATTGATTATGACTTGAGTTAAGCAAGTGGCATATAAAATCTCACAGCCTTGCAGCCGTAGGGAAATGTTATGATGAATGTATTTCTTGGGAGCAGCAAAAGGTTTGGAGTACTCTGCCAGCTCTGTTCTGGGCATCAAATGTTACTAGTGACTTGCAGCCACTAATAGCATTTCATTTGGGACATTTGCCCAAAAGTTTGAAAGCTGATCATTTGTTCGGTGAAGTAGGTGTGAGCATCTCTCCTCAATAATTACTTTTCTACTTCAGCCAGAATCAGGAAGTGCAAAGGCATCCACAGAGCTGTAAAAGATACTTCTTAGAAACTAAATGACACTTTGCGGATAAAATGCACATAGAATTTATTGAAAATCTTTCCTTGACTCTCTTCCAAAGCCACTGATACTTCTTTGGTTTCCTTTTTTCCTTTTATCTAACTTCCTTTTAATCTTTGATCACTGGCTATTTGATGCACTTAATCCAGAGTGGACAAAACGACTAGGTTTCTCAGATTCACTTTGTGGTTCTTAGGCACTAACAGGAGATGTTTGTGTTTGAAAACAGTGGAATATAGTGTCTTCTCAATAATGTTTTCTACATGATAGTAAAATAAAAACAGAACTACCTTCTGAGGAGAGTGTGTTCTGCCATTCAGATGACTGCTTCTTGCTGAAAGATTGTGAGAAATGTTCTTTTTCTGTCTCTCCAGTTCCAGAAACCAAATGACTTCTCGCCCCCTTTCCGCTTCGGGACAGTTCCAAACGGCAGCACAGAAAGGAATATTCGCAACAACTACCCTGAAATGCACAGCTACATGGTGAAGTTCAATCAGAGGGGGGTGGATGATGCACTGTTCTCGCTGAAGACTGGGTGAGCCTTTCTTTTTCCATGTTTACTCACCACCAAAACCTGACTTCTTTGCATGCTTGTCTGGAAATTTTTTTGTGGGGCTTGGAAAATGAGCCTTCGTTATCATTCCATGGTTAAAAGTATAGCAAGACCACACCCAGCACAGGAAAATAATTCTCTGGTTCTCTTAGGCAGGTTTTTCTATTGACGTCTGTATAAGAGTTTCTGGGTTTGCTGTGTTTATAAGACTATTAAAAAAAATAGTATCTTCTGTATCCTTGTGTATGTTAGCCTTGTCTGTATTAGTTGCGAAGACCTTGCTTCATCAAGATGTTACATGCTGATGGGTCTTTATGCATACAGGGGAAAAGCTCACAGGCCTCTGTGGACAAAGTTTTTTTCAGAGCATTTATATTGTCATCTGGAAATTCCTTTGTTTTCCCTCCTTCTGTGTATAAAAGATTATGTTAATCAGGAAGCTGAAACAATCCTTGTCAGACTAATCCCACCCCAGTGTATCACTAGCTAATACAGCGTTATGGAAGGTATGCTTGAAGCAAACAGTTTGGAAGTAGCCCTTATCTCTGGAATATTTTAGTATCAAGGGCTGAGCAAACTGTTATTTGAATAATAAAGAAGTATATAAAGTGTGAGCATTTCCTTGGGTAATTTGGGAAATGGAAAAAATCATTAGCAAAAAGTATATTTGAACAGCTCATCCTCTTTTAATAGCAGTGAATCTGTAAAGGAGCTAACTTAAAACACCGTTTTGCAAGCCTTTGTCCTTTATAATTAAAGACCTCCTCCCAGAGCTGACCATTTTAGTTGTCAGAGCCCAGCCCCTGTGAAAAAATCATTCTTGCTTACACTCGTGTTGCACTCTTATGAGAAAGTTTATTCCAAAGTGCGAATGAAGATGTTCAGCCAATTTAATTACTAGATTGACTGAATATTCCTAAACCTGTTTGCCAGATTCAGAGTCACACAGCTCGTTATAAATGAGTGTACCATTAGTTGGATGCCATCCTGGGAAGGTACAGTTGCCAGGATAGTCATCATCCAGGAAATAAATATGCTCTGTCCTGGAAATACATGGATGAAATAGAGCTCATCACTTGCGGTAGATGTCATCCTGGCTTTGTATCCACCCTTGGACAGATTTCCCCACAGATACGCACTTGAACTGCGATAGTCACTGTACTGGAAATATATGTGCTGGAGGTGGATTGAAAAGGTAGCGTGGGCGTGAGAATGTGCAAGGTGGAAGGTCTTTGGTCTTTTATCGGAAAATGCTTCATTTCAGATCTAGTGGGAGGATTTATTCATTGGCTGTCTTGGGTTATGTGGAAGATGCAGCCCCCTGAGACTGCCCCCTACACTCAAGTCAATTTGTTGCAGTGAGAGGAAGGCTCTCATCAGTCTGTTGTGCTGTCTACCCAGCCCAGCCCAGAATGGGGATTTCTCTGTGTTGAAACACAGTTTTTTCTCGTGGTTTTCAGCTGAGCCCTCTTTACCAAAGAGCTACTCAGCACAGTAAACCATAAAGCTTCTACCGTGACCACTTGGTATTGGTAAAGATCCAGTACTGCATTTCACAGTAATCAAAGAGTTAAACATGATGTCCTGACTATATTTAATTTGAAAAAAATTACATTTTGCTCAGCTAAGTCATGCCAGCAGTTTGAATCAGAGATAATATTTTCCTTATGCCAACCCCTACTTTGCTATCCAATATTGATACATTTTATAAAGCATTTTAGGTTCCTTTGAGATGAAAGGCAGTACAGAAATATAAGCTATTCTTAGGACTATAGATCCGCTTGACTTCCTCTTCATTCATCTTTATCTTGCAGTATGTTTGTATTCCAAGTTTTCTTTCAGATCAGAAACGATGATTATCAAAGAGTCAGAAAGAAATAGACAGTCCTCGATTATAATCTAGCTTCACCGGTAAACGGGTTCTAGGCTCAGAGTTTAGTTAACTCAGATAGAGGTGAACCTATTGCAGTCTGTCTGAAAGGGAGATTCTGCCTAAATTACCTGAGAACACCTTTGAACTCGTACAGATTCTCTCTTTTCTGTGCTATACCCCTCTTGTTTCTTGCACCTGTGCAGGAAGTTGGACGCTTTCATTTATGATGCAGCAGTGCTCAACTACATGGCTGGCAGAGATGAAGGCTGCAAGCTGGTGACGATTGGGAGTGGGAAAGTGTTTGCCTCCACTGGCTATGGCATTGCCATCCAAAAGGACTCAGGCTGGAAGCGCCAGGTTGATCTTGCCATTCTGCAGCTTTTTGGAGATGGTAAGTGACAAGAAAAAGAGGGGTTGGAGTTTTCCTAAGAAATAACAAGTTTTTCTTGTGAGAAATAGAATTTCCTAGCTCTGATGCTTCAGTTTTGAGTTGAAAACAGGAAATTATTAACAAGGGTTTGTTAGGGGTATTACACCAAAAATGTGAGGATGTCACTTGTTTTATGTTGTTGATGCAGGGTAGCATCATCATCAAAAGGAATGTCAAAAGCACTGAAGGTTTCACAGAACAAGCTCAGATGTGTTTTTGAAAAATACCTTGTGCAAAGAATGTCTTCCAAACCTAAGCTTTCTGTTGTGAACACTTCATTGTCTTTGAGCTTTTGCTGTGACAAAACCCGCTAATTACACTCAACTTTCCATGGTCATCTCATGCTTTATAGTTCTAGATGGGATCAAGCTGTGCAGTGTTTACAAATTTAAAGGATAAATACTTCTGGATGAGTTAACTCAGATTTTCCAAAACCTTAAAAAAAAAAACCCAAGGAAGGACTTGAGACTCAGAAGCATATTTTGGACAGAGTTTTTTAATCAGAAGATTATAGTTACCTAGTTCATCTCATCCTTTACAGAGAAATTGATAATATTAAAAAAATATACATTTGTGGGATAAGAAATTCCTTCTTAGAAAATATTTTCCTGGCTTTCCCTTTCCATTCCAGATTGCATCTTGCTGTGTCCTTTTTTTGAATAAATAAATTTCACAGGTTATTTTATTTATAAGTATTTCTTTTTATTTTTTTCCCCTGAAATCTGAAAATAACATGGTATAATAAATATGGAAAGAACATAGCTGTGATATACTTCAGCAGAAAATTGGCCACCTGATGGATAGGGTGTTCTGTCTCCTAAACTGCCTAATATGTATTATTTCAGAAAAAGATGTAAGTTCTCCATGAAGCTTTGAAGACTGTGCTATGGCACCACATAAATACACAGATTTTTTTCCCCTGTCACTGGGCAGGAAGTTGAAAATGTGAAAAACTAACTTTCCTAACAGCATGAAAAGAATTGCCAACCTGCAAAATCAGTTTGTTTCTGAATGCCTCTGTGTATGTGTGTGTGAGAGAGAGAGAGGGAGAGTGTTTATCTCTTTCTCCCCCCATGAAAATACCATAATGGGAGTAAGTAAGTGGGGTATGAAATTAGACTACAGAACATTTGTTCCTAGCTGATCCAAATTAATAATATTTTTGATTGGTCAGAGGGCTTGAAAGTGTTGAATTTGGACGAAATTGAAGGGAAGAAAAGCACGTAAAAATGCACAAATTTTTTGGGGAACATTGAACGTAGTTTTAATGAGTTATGGATATGATGGAAAAAAATTCAAAATCATTTTGATTGGAAGATATCAACATTTTGGATTTTGAGCTGGAAATGTACAATGTTTTCACTTAGAAGTGACTCACTTTTGTCTACCAGTATCAGTCACTGATTTTTCCCTTCACTGACCTAATAGGAAAGTGGATGTTTGTGAGGCTAGGTCTTCAGTCATCTGGTGGACAACTTTTTTTGTATCTCACTCTGGACTTTGGGCAAGCGTGACAGCTCTGTCCTGTGGTACAGCTTTTTGTGGCTGATATCTGGCTCTGGAAAAATCCTGTTGCCTTCTCTGTGAGAAACTGCACCTTCCCCTATCGGAAGGGCAGTCAGGATATTTTATAGACGTAGTAGATGTGGGAAAAGAGTGTGGCCCTGGAATTTACTTTAGATCAGCCTTTTGCTTTCAGTCTGCCCCAGCTTGAACTCTTTAGCCATGGCAGGACTATCTAACCTGTTTCTTTCCTTCTCTGTCTTTCTAGGGGAGATGGAGGAGCTGGAAGCACTGTGGCTCACTGGAATTTGTCACAATGAGAAGAATGAGGTTATGAGCAGCCAGCTGGATATTGATAACATGGCAGGTGTCTTCTACATGCTGGGAGCAGCCATGGCCCTCAGTCTCATCACCTTCATCTGTGAACATCTCTTCTACTGGCAATTCCGCCACTGCTTCATGGGTGTCTGCTCTGGCAAGCCTGGTGTGGTCTTCTCCATCAGCAGGGTGAGTGTCGTTAGCTAGCAGGGAGGAACAGAGGATTTATTCAGACAGTCCTGGGTACTGGAGATAGGGAAATCCACCAAGACTGTCTAACACACAGGTGGCATCGTGGTGGTCTGCAGGATAAAGGTTGGCGTCTTTTCATTGTTAACGTTGCAAGAGCATCTAATGTTTTTCTGTGACCTCTCTGGTCTCTGCTGGATTGTGGTCATGGAAATGAAAATTTCACATGGAAATGAAAGTGCAGTATACAGAGAAGTCGACTGTAACCATCTGCTCCTCCAAAGTGAGTTGTGAGGAGGCCAGATCTGGGGACAGTACGTCATGTAATGGTGGATAACGTGATTAGAAATTCAGGAGTTTTTCACTGTCCTCTATATTACAGCTGTTCAGCTGACCTTATGCCAACTAGAAGTGTGCTATCATGGATCGCCAGAAGTCCCTAACCAAAAGCCATGCCCTAAACCATGCAGAAATCCTTCCAGAGAGGATGACCACATGAACTTAGCAATTGCTTTATGCGAATCTGCCTTAGGGTATAATGTTTACATTTAAAGCAGACTCTAGTCATTTCTGAGTCATCTTTCTGCTATTAGTGTAGCTAGCAGGGTCCTATTTGGAGCTTTTTTCCCTTCTTTGAAGCCACTGATCACTTCTGCTGATCTATTCAGAAGTGAGGTTAAATCTCGGCATTTTTGACCTCAGTGTCTGATATAACAGAATTAACTTTGATTGTGCAAGGGGTATGTAATTGCTTCATAACATATTATTGAGGAGAAATGACAAAGCCTTTTGAATGCAGGGGCACAGCCTCTCTTCTCTATTGTTAGTTTCTCACCTGGTTTAGTCTAGAGATGGGATGGGGATTGTGTTTGATGACCTTTAGCTAAGTACAGATTCTTTCATTCTGGGGTTATCTGTTAGACCTGGGCCAGGTTGGTGAAAAGTCTGAAAAGTGTTAATCATCTGCTAGCTGCTGAGAAACCATGGTAACCATGATGTGATGGTGTCCATTTCACAACTGACATTAATAAGCAGGCACCAGTTGGCAGGCCAGGGAATAAATGAGCCCCTTTCCTTCTGCTCCTAGGGGTAGCCCTTGCAAACAGTCTGTGTCATGGATGAAATAAGCTAGTGGGAAACGTGGAGGAATAAGACACTTCTGCTGTCTGATTTGAGTTTGAATGGAGGACTTTGGCTTTCAGGGATGTCAGCTTGGAGCCTGTTATGACTGTTAAATTTAACAGAATGCAATTAAAAATTCTATTGTACCTCACTCAACCAGATGCAAAAGACCTAAATACCTACTTGGCAGTCCTGCTCTTTCTCTGTTTCCTATTCTAATCTGTACGGGTGATTAATGTAGCTAAGTTTATGACAAATGAAGCTGTTCCCTTTTTAAGATAGCTCCTGTCTCGTTGATTCACTGATGTCCAGATGAATTTGAAGGCCAAAACAGACTTTCTTCCTCTCATCCACACAGAATCATTTGTCTTGATTTTTTTATTCCCAAGGATATTATTTCCCCCATTTGCAATTCCATGTTATACCTACCAGATTTGAGTAACAGATGCAAGCAGCTATTCCTGCATCCTACCGATATGACATGAAACAAAGCAGAGGAAGAGGAATAGAGGAGAAGGAAAAAATGTGAGGGAAATGAACGGGGCAGAACAGCAAGGGTTGGTAGAGCAGGTCTGATTTAATTTGATTTCATTGTGCTTCAAGATGGAAGGCTGACAGGCCTTGCTGTCCTATGGGAAAACGCTGTTGCTGCACAGGGTGCTTCCCAGTCCAGTTCCCCTCTCGTGTATTTGTTGCTGGACCACTCACCTTCCTGCTTTCTCTCATTTCAGGGTATCTACAGCTGCATCCATGGCGTGGCCATCGAGGAACGCCAGTCAGCAATGAACTCCCCCACGGCGACTATGAACAACACCCATTCCAACATCCTCCGCCTGCTTCGGACAGCCAAGAACATGGCAAACCTGTCAGGGGTCAATGGCTCACCGCAGAGTGCCCTGGACTTTATCCGCCGCGAGTCTTCGGTCTATGATATCTCCGAGCACCGCCGCAGCTTTACCCACTCAGACTGCAAGTCCTACAACAACCCCCCCTGCGAGGAGAACCTCTTTAGTGACTATATTAGTGAGGTGGAAAGGACCTTTGGCAACCTCCAGCTGAAGGACAGCAATGTGTATCAGGACCACTACCACCACCACCACCGCCCACACAGCATTGGCAGCACCAGCTCCATCGACGGGCTCTACGACTGTGACAACCCGCCCTTCAATGCCCAGTCGCGGTCCATCGGGAAGAAGCCCTTGGACCTGGGGTTACCCCCTGCCAAGCACAGCCAGCTGGGCGACCTTTACGGCAAGTTCTCCTTCAAGAGTGACCGCTATGGGGGCAGCGGGGCCCATGACGACCTGATCCGCTCGGACGTCTCTGACATTTCCACTCACACAGTCACCTACGGCAACATCGAGGGCAATGCGGCCAAGCGGCGGAAGCAGCAGTACAAGGACAGCCTGAAAAAGCGCCCGGCCTCTGCCAAGTCCCGGCGGGAGTTTGATGAGATAGAGCTGGCCTACCGCCGGCGCCCACCCCGCTCGCACGACCACCAGCGATACGTCCGGGGACAG